GGATCCAGTCTTGGGGAGGCCGAGGATCCCCGTTTCAGAACATCCACAACTCCTTAGTTTGTGGGCAGGTAGAAACATCTATCTCAGAGAGCTTTGCTCTTGCTTCCTTTCAGATGTCAGGTTTTTAGCTTTGTTGCATACACACTATTTTTTTAAAGAACAGCTGCACGCTGTCTTTTCAGTGGAGGCCTTGAAAAGGACTCAGCCACCTCCGCACAGAACCTCGTCTTGCATCTGGAAAGCTCCCAGACGGGAAGCTTTCCTTATCAGTGAAAACATCGGCCAGCTTGAGTTATCCCCTGGTGAGCGCTGAGTTTGGGTCTCTTGTGCACAGAATGCGGTCAGCGCTGCAACATGCACCCCCATGACAGCTTTAAGACATTTGTGCCACTGTGCCGTGCGAGATCCGCCAAGGAGGCTTCTCTTACCTCTCTGCGATGGCCCATGCTGCCCCAGGAGGCAGAACGCTTATGAAGGGTGGCCTTCCCCACCTCCACTTCGTGCCAGGATACAGGAGTCTGAAAAAGGAGAGGGGAGTAAATCAGAACTTGGCCAGTCTGAGATTCCCATGACCTTACAGACAGAAGGCCACTTCCCAGTGGTGCAATTTCTTCCATGAAAATTAGTTCTGAAGGCATCCCCCCCCCCTCCCCAAGGAGAAAGTATCCCAAGGGCTGCTTTTCACAGAACTTCCCCTCCAAATAAAAAGCTTATTGACATGTAGGGGGAGAACACACACACAAGTCCAACACGTACAGACTGTCATGTTCTACAGGGATACTGTGACCAATCGTTAAATGTCCACTCAGTGTACGCGTGGAAGGGAGTCGTGTGCATTTTTCATACACGACGGCAAACGCACATTGTACGTGCTTGCCTACACAAAAGTGGTTCCTGTGCAGGAAAACTACAGTGGGTTGGATCCAGTGCAATTTCTAATTGCACAAGAAAAAGACCATGGTGGCTATTTGTGGTCAGTCAGACTTATTGTTGGCAGACTGATTAGCACAGCAAAGGTACACAACCTGATTACAGTGCAGATAAAACTTTGTTCAGGAACTAACATACTTGATAGTGAAGAGGAGAGACAGGGTCCTAGCTACATCACTATCAGAGAGAAAGAGAGAGAGAGAAAATAAGTGTGCAGCTTCGGAGAAGAAAGAGGATGTTGCCCTAAAAGTAACAATCTGGAGACAGACAAGGAATGACACAACCGGAGAGAAAGTGCTGACCTCACTATTATTTATCTGTTTTTTTCAATTTATACCCTCCTTTCCCACAAGCAGGCTCAGGATGGGTTACAGGGCACATAAGATGTGACAATAAGACAGCAGAATGTCATAAAGACTACAAAATTAGAAATTTAAAAGCTAAAAGAACGGTAATAAAACAAGCATAACACATTGCCTTGGTAGTGATGCTATGATGTACTTCTTCTGAGTGGTGCTGGCGATGTTGGCCATTGGACACAAGGCCAGGGTTCCCGGCAGGGAAGACTGAAGACGGAAGAATTTGGATGCCTGCCGCCTCAACTAAAAGCCTGGCGGAACAGCTCCATCTTGCAACAGATCCCGCAGGGCCCTGATCTCAATTGGTAGCTTGTTCCACCAGGCTGGGGCCAGGGCTGCTTGTCCCTGAGAACAGCATTTGATGTAGGATAGTATCAGACAGACAGGAGACTGTGACAGCAGCCATGAAATTAAAAGAGGCCTGCTCCTTTGGAGGAAAGCGGTGGCGAACCTAAACAGCATGATAAAAAGTAGAGACATCGCCCTGCCAACAAAAGTCCGCATGGTCAAAGCAATGGTATTCCCAGTAGTCATGTATGGCTGCGAGAGTTGGACTATAAGGAAGGCCGAGCGCCGAAGAATAGATTCTTTTGAACTATGGTGCTGGAGAAGACTCTTGAGAGTCCCTTGGACTGCAAAAAGATCAAATCAGTCAATCCTAAAAGAAATCAACCCTGACTGTTCCCTGGAAGGCCAGATAATGAAAATGAAGCTCAAATACTTTGGCCACCAAATGAGAAGGGAGCACTCACTAGAGAAGACCCTGATGCTGGGAAAGATTGAAGGCCAAAGAAGACGGGGATGGCAAAGGATGAGATGGTTAGACAATGTCATCGATGCAACGAACATAGGGGTCATTTCCTGCAGGAGCGCACAGGAGTGGAGCTCTGGCAGTAAGGAGCTCAGTGGGTGGGTACATGCAACAAGCTCCGCCCCCTGCTCCCAGCAGCCCTCAGTCGGGCCAGGAGGAGCAAGAAGCAGCCAGGTAAGTTGCAAAGCCCCCCCCCAATCCACCTTCAGGTACAAGCTCTCCCTCCTCTGTGAGGGCAGATCTGCGTGTTCCCCCCCCCAATAGCTAGCAATCCAAAACAGTCCAGTGGAGCCTGAGCGGTGGGTGTTGCCTTCTGACACACTTCCAGTGACGTCAGGGGGTGCGGCATATGCAAATTGTCTGCTAATAAGTTATGCTAATGAGCTCCCGCACCTCTTTTTCTACTAAATGACTTTTGGACAGCAGGAAGGAAAGGATGCTCTGCGTGTCCTGACCTCTCTATCTATCCAAGTCTATGGTGCCGTCTCTGAAGTCTTGAGGCAGGAGACAGAGTATAGTCCTCCACTTCCAACCCTTCGAAGGGTATCACTCTGCTCTAGATGGCACCCAAGACAGCCAGGGCTTAGCCACAGAAGCCTTAAGATGACCTCTGGGGGGATTCTCACAAATTCTTAGGGACCATCAAAGATTAAAGCCATGCATGTCTCCCAGGGCTGTTGCACAAAGCAAGAGACACGAGCACAACTCAACAGGCCCATACATCTTTGCAAACTTCCAGTGGCTCCCTGTGCAGAAGCAGCCAACTTGTGCGTGGACGGACCCCAGTGTGACAAGTAAGGCTGCAGAAGCTTTCCCAAAGGAGGTGTGAGTAAGCAAGAATGCACAGCGCGACTCCTCGCAGGCAAGTAGCTTGCCAGACCCACCACTCACAAAGAAAGAGAGTTGGGTTTTATACCTTGCTCTTCACTACCCGGAGGATTCTCGGAGTGGCTTACAATCGCCTTCCCTTCCTTTCCCCACAACATACACCCCGTGTGGTAAGTTCCCTTGCTCGAAAGCCAGTTGAATCCGACTCTAGGGTTGCGGTGCTCATCTCCGTTTCAAAGTTGAAGAGCCAGCGCTGTCCGAAGACATTTACATGGTCATGTGGCCGGCATGACTAAACACCAAGGCGCACGGAATGCTGTTACCTTCCCACTGAAGTGGCACCTATTTATCTACTTGCAATTTCTTGCTTTCGAACTGCTAGGTTGGCAGGAGCTGGAACTAGAGACGGGAGCTTACTCCGTCATGCGGCACACTCGGGTCTCGAACTGCTGAACTACTGACCTTCCACAGCCTGCAGTTCAACATCTTAACCACTTGAGCCACCGCAGCTCCATACCCTGTATGGTAGGTGGGGCTGAAAGAGTTCTGAGAGAACTGTGACCAGCCCAGGGTCACCCAGCAGGCTTCATGTGGAGTGGGGAATCAAACCCAGTTCTCCAGATTAGAGTCATACCACTCTTAACTACAACACCAAGCTGGCTCTCAAACCTCTCACATATAGGGATGCCAGCCTCCAGGTGGGACCTGGGGATCTTCTGGAATTACAGGTCATCTCTGGACTAGAGAGATCAGTTCCCCTGGAAAAAATGGATGCTTTGGAGGATGAACTCTATGGGCATTGTACCCCACTGAGGTCCCTGGCCTCCCCAGGCTCTGTCCCTCCAAATCTCCAGGAGTTTCCCAACTTGGAGCTGGCACTCATACACCCCCATCTCCTGCTGGTGGCCAAGGGGACTTGATAACCCTACTCATACACTGTGCATACAGCATTACAGAGTACTATTTTACAGACAGCCCCCCACCCCAAAAGGCAAGACTTCTGCTCCACTTTGTACTTAACCCACAAAACTGCACATAAATATGGTCCAAATATCAGCGCTGATTGACCAGTGCCGGTGCAGACAAAGTCAAGATCTTCACACATATCTTCCAACTCTACCCAGGTCACCTGTTCACTATTACCAAAGATAGTCTGGAGCCTGTACCATTTTCACCCCAAGTTTCCATTGTGCAAGCTATAATGGCAGCGTAAGAGACTTTTCTAAAGAGAAAACCAGCCTCCCTAGAGAGGCTTGCAAATAAAAGGGGGGGGGGTGGATAGAGAACTGGCAGCTGTTGTTAAAAGCATCTCTCCTTATATTTAACTCCTTATATATAATTCTGTTTTGGTCATGGACTCCCCTGAACATTCCAACACGCTCCCAAATCAGTTGGCTCTCTGACCTGTCACTCAGAGGGTCTCCCTATCCACTGGCTGCGTTGCCTGAGTCCTACCTCCAACATTCTATACAGTTTGCTGTTCCTTCCCCCCCCCCGCATAGCCAGTCAGAACACAGAGGTCATTTGCATATGTGGCCTGATTGGCCTTTGGCTTGGAACACAGAGGTCGTTTGCATATGCGGCCTCATTGGCCTTTGCCTCTAACATTCTGTTGCTGTTCTGAGGTAAAATGTGTTCTGAGGTAAAATACATTTCCCCTTAGTACCTGTTGGGGGAAACCATTGTTGCCAATCTCCAGGTGAGGGCTGAAGATCACTCAGAATTACAACTGCTTTCCAGATGGCAGAGATAAGTTCCCCTGGAGAAAATGGTGGACTCTGTGTCCTTATATCCTGCTGAGATGGCCCCTGGATGACAGCCAATGTGACGTAGCAGTTAGGGCTTCAGAGCACAGTACAGGCTGCAGGGGGGTGGAAAGCTGAAGAGTGAGGGGGGGGAAAGATAGGTTGATGACTGGCTGGGAAGGAGATAGGGTTGCCAACTCCAGGTGGGAAATTCCTGGATATTTGAGGGATGAAGCCTGGAGAGGGTGAGGTTTCAGGAGGGGTGGGACCTCAGACAAGTACAATGCCATAGACTCCACCCTCCAAACCAACCAGTCCCTTCTGGAGAACCATTGCTGCCAATCTCCAGGTGGGGGCTGGAAATTATTCAGAATTACAACTGCTCTCCAGGAGGGAGGGGGGAGTGAGAGGGACAGATAAAGGTAGGTTGATGGTTGGCTGGGAAGGAGATAGGGTTGCCAACTCCAGGTTGGAAAATTCCTGGAGATTTAAAGGGTGGAGCCTGGAAAGGGTGGGGTTTGAGGACGGGTGAGACCTCAGACAGATACAATGCCATAGACTCCACCCTCCAAACCAGCCCTTCCCTCCTGGGGAACCATTGTTGCCAATCTCCAGGTGAGGGCTGGAGATCACTCAAAATTACAACTGTTCTTCAGGTAGCAGAGATTAGTTCCTCTAGAGAAAATGGTGGACTCAGTGTCATACCCTGCTGAGGTCGCCACAGCAAATTGACACTGAGTGCCCAAGGCCGGGGCACCTGCCCAGAGCCTCTTTCTAGAACTCGTATTTATTTCCACAATGGACCTTATTCCTAGTAGAAACATAAAGCTGGAAGGGATCCCAAG